TCAATCTCTTCTATCTCTGCAACAGTTTCATCTTTAAATTTAGTTTCTAAATCATTAAAATTTTTTAAACTCATATTAATACCAGTAGTAATTCTATTAATAGTTTTTAACCATTCAGAAGCATATTCATAATTAACATTTTTTCTATTGATAGGCATTTTGTCTTTAATTTCTTCAATTTGAGAAGCTTGATCTTTTGAATATTTTTCAAAATTTCAATCACTTCTAAATGTTCTTCTAGACAAGGATAACAATTAATAAGAAAATTTTCAAGGAGAATTAGATTTATTTACTATCCTTTTTTAGAAACATAAAAGTCAATTTTTTCTTTTGAAAAAATTGTTCTTGGTTTCTTTTTATCATAAAGAGTTGAATTAACACCATTTTGTTTTTGGTATTTAGGCATTTTGAATTTATTTAATATATTGATTAATGAATTACATAATTAAAATTTTAATCAGTACAAATTGCACTGATTAAAATTATAGAGATTTAGAACAATATTCAGGTGATTTTAATCTATTTAATCTTTTGATAATGATAATTTGTTTAGAAAGATAATTAATTCTTTTTTCTGTAAATTTTTCAATATCAATATCTTTTACTTTTTTTTTTCTTTTAATAACTTTATCTTTAAATTCTTTAAGCAATTTCTGTTCATTTTTGTAAATAAAAGCATTAGTAGAATTAAAATTTTTAACTCAAAGAAATAAATCATAATCTAATTTTAAATCTCGAAATAATTTTTTAAATTTCATTAAAGATCCTTTTCATTCAAAGAACCTAATCATTCTTCTTTAGGATATTTTTTATCTATGCTTTGTAGCAATTTAAAGTAATAACAACATCTTCTAAAAGAACATTTCTAATTTGTATGATGTAAATCATATTGCTATAAATCCTTTCAGAAATTTTTTTCTTGTTCTTTTAAAAAGCTACGATTGCATTTACATTGAAAAAATATAAAAAAAGGTATGTATTCAGTATGTTCTAATAAATCAAATTTTTCATTTAATTTTCTTTTTTTATAAAAAATGATAAAAAATAATCTTTCGTTTCTCAAAAAAGATTTAATTGAACCATATAATTTTTATACTGAAATTGGTT